AAAAGACTTAAAACCACGATGTAGTGCGCGGTGTGCCATTTGTTTAATTAATATCATTTTGTTTAGTATTTTTTTTAAATAATTTAGAATTCCGACCATTTATATGCGATGTACTTCATGTAAATTAAACTTTACGGCATTACGCCGACAGTTTCCGAATGCGTGACAATACTGTTTCAAACTGTTTCTGGATATAGATATCAAACATAATTTTATAAAACATGTTTGTTGAAACAGTTTAAATAAAATGCAAGCTAAATAAAGAAGTGTTGACAAGATACAAAACAAGACAATTTCACTTACAAGGGTGACAAGGTAATTTATAGGAATATAGCTTATTGTAACTGTATAAAACTATAAATATATTGTGCGTTTCTACTCCCTGTGGGCTATGGTTCTTTTGGAAATCAAATATCTATTATATTTTGCAATTAATAATATTAACGTTTAGCCTAAGACATGTGTAGTTTAGTTATAGGTTGGTATTTTGCAATTATGTACCGTACATGCCCCTTAAGTAGAGTATATTTATTAACTGTTTACAATATTTGTGGTATGTAATGTAGCCATGAATGCATGACCACATGACCCCACAAGATGAACTCCAATGGCTTCTAAATAAGACAATGAATGAAAAGTTCACGAATATTGAGCTTTATATATGATTCGGATTAAATACAATAATTATTAACCTAGCTTTATATAAAATGTACATACATGTTCTAATAATTGTATTTTGCTTCATACAATGCATATGTATCAATGTGTGTGAAAACATTACATTATTCAGCTCACTCCCCTTTGGGGCTTTTCAGTCACCGCTTACATAAAGTATTAGGGTTACTTATGATAGTCTAGACTATATATCTTTATAACAATGAGAATATGATATCACTTTTCTAACTGTTTTTATTCTAACCCACCCTGCCATATTTTGCCTTGTGGGAGAAAACCGGAGAAAAATATAAAATTCAATTACCTTGAAAAAACAGGTCTAAATTGCAATCCCTAAAATTTAGAATTTTCTCTTAAATCGCATTAAATCGCCTAAAATCGCTTTAAATCGCAGTGCTTCAAAGTCCCAGTTTTTCCTTAAATCGCCTAAAATCGCCCAAAATCGCATTATATCGCAGCGATTTAAGGCGATTTACCGCCCCAGAGTAGGCCTACAGCTCGGATAATTAGAAACTACGATTTTCTAAGTTTGGGTTGGATCGGAAAGCTACATTAAGACGTTAAGCTAAATAAGTGCATCCTTGTGAATGACACTCGCATCTGTTAATGATCACATAGCAGTCAAACATTTGTTAGTATAGATAATCAG